TGTGTGACACGCCTTATTGGGATGCGCGGTTCTAACATACATGGAATGGGTAGGGTGGCAAGCCTAGGCGCAGACTCACGCTGGACCAGCCACCTTCGTCCGATCTCGCCTCTAGTTTCTTTGACTCTGTCATGATTCCAGGGTTGAATGAGTGCAGCAGAAGCAGCGCATGTCTACTACCACTGTGAAATAACTCATGCGGAGGTCGCCGTGCCTGCCCTCACTCGGCTGTAACGCACGCGAAGGACAAAGTCGGAAACGACAGTTGTCCCCCACTTTTGTTGTGGTAAAAGGTTCTGGTCATTTTACCCTGTAGACCAGGGCGGGTGGTTGTACGCCTAGGTGCGGGTTCACGCGGCGCCAATCATCAGAGGCCTCTCACGCCTTCAGTCTTCTTGACTCTGTCATGACACTAGGTTTAGGTGTATGGGGTAGCGGATCAACTCCAAATTTGGAGGGCTATTCCTTACATCGAAGGGGTCCCTCACAGACGCAACTGTGTCCGTACTCTAGTCCAAAAAGTTCAAACACACTGCAGCACACCAGCCGACATAAGTGCTGAGCGACAATACCTTCACAACTTCTTTCGGGCCAATGAATAATCAAATTAATTTGTCAAGCAGAACGAGCGCCGATCGGAGAGACGACGGCCATAAGAAGAGCAACCCAAGGTTTGGAGGGCTATTCCTTGCATGAAAGGAGTCTCTGAGGCGGTTTTATAACTGTTACAACCCGCCAGGATAGGCATTGCCCACTGACCTCAGGCAACAATTCGTCACCGTTCGATGTGACCGAAAGACACACTGTCGCCCACTGAAACCTCAGCAGTTGTCTATCAAATACGTTGTAGCGACGGAGACTGCAGCTACATTGGGAAAACCAGACGAAAATTGCAGAACCGCCTACACGAGCACTAATTGGCAACTCGGAGAGTAGACCCAAAATCACAGCTTGCAACTCACATCAGAGAAACTGGCCACAGATTTGGCTTTCACGGAGCAGCCGCCTTACGTTGGGGCATCTCAAAGACAGAACGTCTCACACTTGAGGCTTCAGAATTATATGCCAACCCCATCAACAGGCATCTAGATCTTCCTAAGGCCTATAAAGTCTAACGTCACTACATCTACCAGCCAAAGGGGTAGCAGAGGTTCAACCGATCCCGATTATGGTGACGAAACACAACACTGAAGACCGCCTACATTCGCAGCTAACGGCCATTAAGCAAAGGCAGCGAAAGAAGAAGAAAAAATCGATCGGCCCAGGGCCATTTAGCTCATCCGTTTGTTCACAATTTTGGTCGATTTTTTGCACAAAACGCTTTGCTAATGGAGAGTCGGTCAAGCCCCCCGAAAAGCCAGCTACTCATTTCCACTGATCCGATGAGCGCTTTATATTTATCAGATTATCGATCCTGAACAAGTAACTGATCCTCGCGCAACCCCAAGCATCCCCAGCAATCCAGATAATCATAATCATAACCATCACAGTCTTACCACAGATGACTTATTTCCCGTTCATGGGCAACTCACATTAGATCAAGCATCTTATTTTCGTCAGTCAACAGATGCAGATTCATGAACCGCGATCGCATGCGACCTGAGAGGATTCGCAGTTCGGATACTAGAGCGTTCGGCTATCAAACATAACCAAACTGGGTCCAGAAAGTAGGTTTTCGCTGTCTGGGCTGAGAGTGTGACTGGCTCATGACAGTACGACCGTTGTTACCGGCGAAGTCTGCCGTCTGGTTCACGTCAGGGTGAAAGCAGGCACAGCGAATGAGTTCCTTGTGATAGTAAACTTGCGCAGAATCTAACACATCCCCTCTTCCGCACTCCCCACCTGGATTCGGTGTCAAGACAGAATCAGGACTGTCGAAGGTGTGCGAGGGCGCCGGTGGCTGGCACGGCCACGCCCGTGCCTAGGTGTATCACACACCCCCTGGTTCATATCAAAAACTTGACCAGGATTCCAGTTGGCTCGGCGTGATCCTATAACTAGGCCCACCACCACGCAACCGTAATGTTAGCATTTGTTGTGGGTGCGTATTTCCGAAAAGACCTGTGGGACTCCGATATAGCGCTTGTGTTGACCCATCACAACTACTGTGTCGTCCTTTTTAGGGATAAGTGTGATTCATGCGAACAAGAAGACCACAGAAGATAGTCATAATCTCCAGCGTTCCGCTTGATAAAAAACTCTCTTCTGGTCACAAGTACGATGGCCGAATTCACTCGCCTTGGTATGAGACTAGGACTGTCTGACTATTCAAAGTTTTCAACTAATTTATACCTTTAGATCTCATGTTACATATATATCTATATCATGATACTCCCTTAAGATCTCGAACCGTTCTGTACACACGCCAACGTGATTTATTCCACAATATACGATAGTAAATGTAACTCATCTGCCCATTCTGATGGAAGCCTCCCTAATACAACTGACGTTTTGCATCTGGCTGCGAAAGCGGTGGCAACTTGACTTAACCGATTCAAGTTCATTTCGTGCAGGCTTGTTTTGCAGTCCAAAATGGTGCTGTTCTCATGCAAGCGACTGTTTCAGGCGCGATAAACTTTGTTCTAGCAGGAGAACTGGCCATTTTTTGATGGTGCACTGCAGCCTCGAGCGACTTTATCTTCGGCCTCGCATACCCGACGAAAGGCGCACTTGTCGCCTTTTGTTGGCGTGAAAAACTTTCACTCTCACCGCACCCCCCCGCGCCTCTTTCACCCGATTCATCCCCTCACTCACATCCCTCGATGCAGAAATCAAAGCAGGCTAACTGAGAACTGCGTAACTACCCTCCCTTCCCACCCCCTGCGCCCGCAGCTGCAACCGCTGACTGCTGACTATCCAGCGCCAGTGTGATACAATGGAGTGCTGCGAGTTTGTGCCATCAAACCGCCAACAAACGCTAGATGTTAATTAGCTCGTCCGTGCCCGATATCACTGCCTTGGGGTATACCGACTGGTCGAAAGGACAACGACGATCACTGCTCAGAAAATATGCTGTCAGCTTCGCCTGAGTTTTATCGGGTGTAATGATTCGAAGTGGTTAAGCGGTAAAGGCGGTGGCAGTTGGCGTAGTGGAGTTTTTAACATGGTTAACAAGACAGTGCAGAAGTTGTGAAGAAGGAGAAACTGCCGGTCTGAGACCCCAGGCCGATACGGCTCGTCCTATACCAGGCGGAACATGTACTAGCTAAAAGCCGTTGCGTGACCCAGCTGCGATGGGTTCGGCTCATCAGTGGAGAAACACGTGTCTGGGCTTTTAGCTAGTACCTGCACTGCCAAGTATGGTATATAATGCCATCCCGATATATAATTCTGACTGCCTGGTGAGAGTTTGTGGATGGTACGCTGTTATTCCACAGTGGCTGATGGAGTTCGGCCGAAATATTTATAATAAAATTCAATCTGAGCCTATAAGTCTCGAATAGACTGGTTTACTACAAGTTAGCGATTAAATTCTGGGGAAATTAGAAAGCTGCAATACCTCGTCCCTTTGCTTGTGTTGATTACTCGTAAAGCTGCTAGAAATGGTCTCATATCAGCTGGTCCGGGACAGAAAGACGTGATATTTACCGACGCCGTCTTAATGCGTAATCACCGCAAATACAGTGAGCTGACATTTTGCCATCTTCAGGTGGATTTCTTTTTTTTTAATACTCCGAGCTCAATTTGGTATCGGTTGATTTCTAGGCCTCTCGTCAGCAAATCAGACTACCGACGCCTAGGCAAAGCAGCTCTGCTTCGAAGATGAAAGGCTTATATAGCAGTCTATACCAATAAATATATATATATATATATATATATATATATGAATAACTGATGTGGTGGGCATTCCGAGGTGAGATAATGAGAAAGTGAAGGCTCTTCGGAAAATTGAGTTGTAATTGTAAACATCAGTTGTTTGTTTGTCGTTGTCTGTCTTGTCGCGCCAGCCGACCTAGTCTGCCGACTTCACTGTCCCTCTGTTCATTTCGTCTGACGACGGGTCGGTGTCACCGACTTGAAAATTTACGAGTATAACTCAATTTTCCGAAGAGCCTTCACTTTCTCATATATATATATATATATGACGAAAGCCTATCAGTACGGACTGACGCGCACGCTGGCCGCTTACTGGCTGAAGCACCAAATGACTGAGTACGACATTGCATTTTCGGATTCCTATAATTGATCAGGAAGGCTATTTCGTTCAATTGGATGTTAGCATATAATACCGGACAGTGGATGAAGAAGACTCGATTTCTTGGTTGCCAAATTTAACAAATTCTGGTATTGTCATAGCCTACACCAATTGATTGCTTACAGGCATTCTTCGATCTCAATTGTTTTCCTGCCGAGGATCTAGGGAATCGACGATCGTGCGTGGATCTCTTATAGCCCCACAAACACAAGATGCTTACGATCAGGCACTTCGCCGCCAATTTATTTGAAATGTACAAGTGCAAGTAGTGTAACGACAGTGTGAGACTGTCTTTTGAGAGGCAGTGGGGTCAAGGGATGTCTCTCCATTTTCTGCCATTTTTCACATCCCCCGAGAGGGTTGTAATTGCCAGCAAAATGTCGCGTCACAGAGAAAACTATGTGGAGCACATTTATAACAGGGGCAGGAGCTACTGTTCTTCCGATGACGGCCATTTTTGCGTTGCCTGGATTGGGCCGTCATTGTACGGGTTTTCAGGTGTATATTTTTATATGCGTGCGTGTTTCTGAATCTGGGTAACAGCAATTGTCTGGTAGATACAGTTTGGGCTTAAAAAATACTAAAGTGTCTGGAGTGAGGGCTCTAATTGTGTTATAAAGGACGACTCTAGCCAAAATGCATCGGCATTTGCTGTAGGTGCTGGCTAATTTGGTTGAAGAGTTGTCGCCAGTTGGTGGATTGGACAGGGCGACTTCGCGACTTGACGGAGCTCGCCAGTCGACCGTTTGTATGCAGCACCGTCGTAGCGAATAAACGGCCCGAAAGAGTAGGATCAGTCTGTGCATTATATCGGCCTATCCATTGCCTCCAGATACTTTTTGTCAATTACACAAGGGATCAACTTGTGTCTAAAAGGGAAGAAAAAGGTACGGAAGAAGGCGTAAAAACAAAACAGCCTGTTTTTTTAATGGTTGACGAAAATCAAGACACCAAATGGTTAACGTCATTGAGAATTAACAGAGGCACAAAACTAGTGTTCTGGTATATTAGAAAGTCTTTTTCTATTTTCCAACTTTTGATTTCTACCTACTGAGGAATAGCCAAGTACAAAACAAAAACTGCAAGAGCATTGAATCACTAGAAAATCTTCAATCCAATTAATGCTACCATATCAGGAAGAGGCAGAATTTTCAGCCTTTGGGATTTTGGCATGCGTGAAAATGTCAAATAACCTAAAAGTGGATCGATTCAACCACGATTTGTTTCCTCTTAAAATCAGTTAACTTTTAGGCACGATGCAACATTATACAAATAGACCCTGGCTGAGCCTCTAAAGAAAACCTTAACGTCCAAATGGTCTACAGTAATCGCGCCAAAGCGGGAGGAAGCGACGTCCCCCTGTGACCTTCAGTCACCACTCAATGCAAAACACTGCGTTTGCGGGCGGATACCACCGTTGAGCTTATGCGAACGATGCTGCTACGCTGTTAATAGTCTTTCTTAAAATGCAGCCTTGCAACAGGCGCCAGTCGCAAGGAGTGTCCATTAATTTGGAGACAGAAATGGTCACCAGGTAAGCGAACTACAGTATCAATGAGTACGAATCGATACGTAACTTACAAAGCCATGAATTGTAGTCTGCTTCGAGCGGACTAAATTGCATAGCAGATGTTTCATGACTGACAGCAAGTACGTTAGAAAGGAAAATTTCTTCTTCGTCATAATCGGCTTCAAGCTTAAAGCGGATAAAGCTATTCGTGTTGTGCAGAACCTGCTGGCTATGGTTGCATATATTTGTATTGGCTGTCTAAGTTTGAAGACAACTCTCTGGCTAGCCAGTTCAGAAAGTGGGACTTGACTGGAACGCCAAGTAGTCAATTGCATTGTTGGCAAAACTGCGAAATCCCATCCCAATGTACAAATGACCGTGGGGACTGCTTTCTGTTGGGGTCCGCTATGGCCCACTTGTAAACCAATCAGCGGACGACCTTGAATTATTATCCAGTTCGGTGCAGTCCGTAGCTCACGTCCAAAACTGTAGTGTCACCTCAGGTTTGCTCCCCAAGGAAACCAGGACCCTATTACAGTGTTATTAACACCCAAATTTAATAGTCCACGTCTGAGGCCTCGTCTTAAAATTTCGAATAGTTTAGTCGGCATACCGACCGCCCACCTTACTACCAGGCATTATGAATCAACCTGAGAGAGTAAGCGGATATCAGGAAATATAGTCACAGAACCAGTGCGGCATCCTCAAGAACTTTCTACCTACAAACGCTCATGTTCAGACAAGAAGCGTGGGATGCGGTCGTGCAGTCACCAACTGGCGTCCGGAAGCTACCATCGCCACCTCCTGTGCAAGTGGCCCATAAAAATTTGGGTGCCACTAAAAGTCAGCGCAATAAAGCTATTATTATTGAAACAGTAACGGGTAGGTAAATGACTTCTCGCAAGTCATCAAAAGGTTCGGTATCTCGCCGCAGGAAAAACGCTTCGATGAGAACTAAGACATTCTGCACGTCACAGTGTATCCAATTGACCGAAAAGTCAAACAGTAAATAGAAGCATCCTAGCGATTTTGTCTGGTGTCTCGGTTGCTCGACCTGAGACGCCCACTTCAGCATATTTAGAAGGAAATGCTAAATAAACAGACCAAGGTAATGACCAAAAGTAGTGTTTAATCCTTGCGGAGTGCGTTAGAATCAACAAGAGCAAAACAACCTTCATGTCCAATTTGAAATAAAAATATTTGAACATATAAGGAAACAGAGCCTCCATTTTGAGATTACTTTGTTTCGTTTTAACACTGTCGGCCAAGCATACCTTGAGGCAAACTTGAGTCTACTGATGGGGCATAGCCCCTCGTATCCGGGAATGACTGGGATTCCAGGTTAGATTTTGGGCAGGATGGTAGTTGGTAGCCCTGCCAACTGAGTCTACAATTGTACCTACTGGCTCGATTTCAGTATCTGTGATAACGTTCTCAATATGTCTGGGGGGTGCACGCACAGAGGCCCTGTCAGGATGACTTTCTTCTTCACTTTAACCGCCCCGAGAACGAGGCGCTGCAAGACTGTCTATATAGACTCATTGTATTGCACCCCCACACGGAAATCTTTAGTAAAAGGCGAAAGATTTATCCTAAACGGATTATGATTCATCATGCTTCCCATTATGCTTCTAATTGCATGTGCGCACAGCATTACCTGCATCAGATTAATTGCATAGGTACTATCCTAGGCGGATTGGCGCGGGTCTCCGTTTCGTCGGTTTGCCTGCATCCTTGGGTCTTTTTACTTCAGACCTCCAGTAGAGTCCGGTGCGATCGTGTACGAAAGGACAACCGACGCTCAGTTAGGGTGTCTACCGATACTCCATCCACTACATCAGTCATATGGACAGAGTGTTGCCCTCCACCCCCCGCCTTTACGAACAGCCCGGTTGTATTTGGTCGCAGGGTTTTGGCTGAAAACTGTAACGCCTTGTAAACACCGCCATGGCCAGTTAGCGATCCTTTCCTGCACTTCCAGTTAAAGGCACTACGGCACCCCCGGGCCTTCGAAATTGCGGGTTTTGAACTGGGTGCAATTCACCTACCACATCCCGCACTTACTACCTCTTGGGTTTAGATTACATCAGTAAGGCGTCTCATACGTCAGTCAGACCCGAAGTGTTCACCTTCCTCGCATTTTTCACCTTATTAAAATTAGGTTTCTACTTTATCAGGATCGTCAATTCCAGGCATTCCCTACAAGCGCCATTTACGCCTCCACTCAGTTGCCCCACCTGTACAGCCCCTATTAGCACCGGTCCCGTAAGTCAGGTAGCTGGGATTGTGCGGTACCGGGAGGGCTACCAACTACCATCTAACCAGATTTTATTTTAAAGGCAGACATTGAAGTCACTACTCAGGCCTACCTGACGAGGAGTTGGAGAAAGAGGAGGATAGGGAAACCAATCTTGACGAAGGGGATCTCCGCGAATCCACAGCCGCAGAGGATACCCAATTGCAACAACTGGAGTGCAGTGAAGAGGTGTATCCGACGTTGTGGCACCCGTCGAAGGTAATGGGATGGGGGATAGGCCGACTGGAAGCAGGAGAGAAGACGGAAAAGTGGACAGATAATCTGAGGCCTAAACAATCGTAAGAATAAAACGAATTGATCTCAAGGGGTTGAACGATTTTCACGCTGATGCACTGCCCATCAACAGGGCTGTCGGAAAAGAGGCTTAGAAATCCTTTTATGGGCTGTCGTCGGGGAACTCGTTGTCGCCTTAGGGTGGGCGCCAAAATTCAGGTGAAATCCAACAAAATCACTTAAAATGCCATCGATAAGGGGTCTAGTTAACTTTAAACACTGCGGCCGAGAACCATGCGGACCAACTCTAACTGTCTCAGTCGCATAGAATTCTCCATTTTTATTCAGTACTTATGAAGATCAAACCGGTTGCTTAGAAAAGACTAGTCTGCCCCTTTTCGTTAACTGCCATCTTAGGGGAAATCGTGTTTTCGTCAGATTTTATATCTGAAAGTGAAAGCTAGCTTAATTTTGTAATAAAGTGTCTTCGAAACCTGGTCCACCGTCATGTAAAGACAATTTTCTCACAAAATAAGGAGGACAAGAATTGCTATTTCTAGGTTAATTATAGTCATCAGTTGTCAGTTGGCTATGTGTCCGCCTGGGAGGGTTCTGGGCCAAAACGGAAGTATCCATATGGAGACGAAAGTTCGAGTCCCGAGTGTATGTACACGTAAAGAGAACTGGTCGGGCACCGGGGAAAAAAATTGCATATTTTTCACAGCTTTCCAACTCGTGCAGGAGTTCAGCGCCAGAGAACGATTGCAATTACAGGAGGTACAAGCCAATCATCGATCAATGACTCAGGGTTGGAAGTGACTGCGTACGGCCCTGTACGCCGACGGCAGATCAATAGATCGATCGACGGAGTTATCTTCTCGGGCCAACGTTTCAATCAACCCTCGGCTTGCCTCGTTTCCGGCGCGGGCGATTATCATGATGACTACGAAGTTAAACTCGAGATACATCATTAATTTTCATGATTTTTCTGCGCAAAGTGGTTTTAAGTCAGTGTGCAATTTTAAAAACCTAATTTAGCAGCAGTGCGCTTGGTTGCTTCTGAAAAGTCATTCATGTACTGTAGAGAGTGCCATATCTTTGGTTTTGTTCATGTCTGCGTTCTCCGGTTATGGAGTGGAGTTCTAGATCGAAACAGGATTATCCGTGTTAGGTGCTGCAATCAGAATGCCCTTGTCATCGCATAGGACTTTCAGTTTTCTTGGACGAAACCAGAATTTGGATGATCCTATAGCTTAACGGTACATCTTAACATTTCTCCTCATCCTGTTACGAAATAAAGAACTCAGAAGCATCTATACATTGAAATAAATCGCGTTTAACCTAGGTATATATTCATTGACGAAACCGTCCCAGACGATTATAAAATGAAACCACGAGGCTTTAGAGGCCTAAATATTTGCACGGAACCAGATGCAAACGTTTTTTGTCTAAATTAGTTTTGCAAAAATGCGCCATATTTACGAAAATATGGGTAACCGGGGGCAAAAATACCTTGAATTGCAGTAGACTGGAAGACTGTATACCACAGATTCTGATATAAGTCAATATGATACTCCCATCGCATCAGTGTTGCAGCCTCATTTAAGTAGTCCCTTTTACTTGGCACTCTGTTTAAGGAGGCGGTAGAGCGGTTGGCGACCTTCAGCGGCTGACATTTCTGCAATCCGTGGTAGGCAGTATCCTACTCTTAACTCTAGAACGGCCAAATCGCTGATTCAGGAACGTCATCTTCTTCCTTCCTTCATCTTCCACCTCATCCCTCATCACCACTACAATCATCATCATCATCATAATCATCATCATCATCATCATCATCATCATCATCATCATCATCATCATCATCATCATCATCATCATCATCATCATCATCATCATCATCATCATCATCATCATCATCATCATCATCATCATCATCATCATCATCATCATCATCATCACCACCACCACCATCATCATCATCATTATAATCTTCTTCATCCACCTCCTACTGATCGCCGCAGTCAATTACCACGACAGACTGTGGCGAGTTGGCGAGCTTCTAGGCCATTATATCCTCCTGCACGCATTAGTTGTCAACGACAAGACGGTGTCGACAGGAATGGGAGTGGATGTGAGTACAGCGACTGGCACGACTGGGCCCACTTCTACGCGGACCGCAGACACGCCGATCTTTATACGTACGAGATGCTCGTTCGCCGCAGCGGATTCCGCGTGACCTGGGAGATGAAGGACGTGGGGAAATCACTTTAGGCCCGCCTTCACTCGGTCCTCCTCTCCCAAATTGTATCAGTTATAAGCCCGAAAAAAAGGGCAAACATTTTTCGGCAAAGTTTGGTCCTGCAGCCCCACCTGAGTGATACCATATAGTAAGATTTATAAAAAAAAAATTGGTTAATGTGGGTAATCTGACCTTACACACATCACGTATTTTCATCTTCCCCGCCATTTTAATCCAACGATTGACTGTGCCACGGGGGAGGCGTGTTCATACGCCAGCCTCAGCTACTTCGGGTATCAGTTCGCACTTGCTTCCCTGCGCGTGTTTCTAGCCCTGTTTGCGTTCTCTTTATTATCCTAATCCGATGATTAGCCAAGAAGATTTGCTAATGGAATTGTTCCGACGCTATGGAAATCCTTCTGTTCCACTTCAGTAGCCATGCACTGCGAATTAAAACGCGATACCCTCCGTGGGCCTTCCCAGTTGTGATTACGCCCACCTTATCCTCCACATCCAGCGAGGGACTGTGTCTGGGGGGGGAGGGAGAGTGTTTACACGCCAACTTCACTCGATTCGCTGCGTGTGCTTTGAGCTCTGCATGCGCCCGCTTTCCCTTCATAATCAAGAGGGTGGCAAAGTTAGGTGTGCTAACTAATATTGTTTTAGTAAGCTAACCACACGGTATCAATCAGGTGGGGTTGCAGAACCCAACCTCGCGGAAGATTTCATAATTCGCGCTGGCTGACGTGTCACAAAACATTTATCCTGCTCATGTTACTCCTAAATCACCGTTTCGCTCCAACGCCACATGGAAACCTACTTTCTGACCTAAGAGTCAGCAACAAAATCATTATCATTTACATGAAAGACAACAGAAACAAACTCTGGAAACGAGTGCAGAAAGCTGTTCCTCCTATTTTTCTTTTAAATTTATTATAAATTCGTTCCAAGAATTTTCTACAGTAGGTGGGCTAACTAATGAAATGACAGCCAAAATTCCGAAAAGAGTTTTCGTTTCGGAAAGATTAACTTAATAGGGTTGTGAAACTAATCATAATGTAGCATAATTATATAATATATTAGTTACCTCAGGATGCCGGCTCTCGATTGAACTTCGTTTCGGCAGCATGCAAAAAATACACTCTATAAAAATGACTACTTAAGTAGCATGAATTTTAGCGTAGCCTCAAAATGCCGAATTATATTCCATGGAAAACATGCATAAAAAATCGCTCTTTCGCTCATTCGGTGGCTAATTACGTCGCCTAATTTTATACTCAAAAAAGGATAGAAGTCGATTTTAAAAAGCGGTTCTAATCGTAGGTCTTTTAAATACCGTGGAGTGGCCGTTCATAAATTGCCACATCTGAGCACTTACCAATGTGGCTTGTAAAGTTAACAATATGGATCAAGTCAACTGCTTAATTTTATGAACCTATATGGTCCCCTCTATTATCGTAGAGAAATGTTTGGTTTTCCGTAGGCGAAAAATAGACAGCTCGTAGTTTGGAAACCCTGAATCTACGTGCAACGATAGAGCGGGTTTAAAATTATTTGGGAATTGGAAAACCTTTTTAAAACGAAACTATGTTCCTCCTTTGAGCATAAAATTAATAGAAGAAGTAATTATCTACCGCATGAGCAAAAGAATGAATATTTGTATGCATGTTTTCCATGAAATATAATCGGATATTTGGGAGAGAAATTCATGCTATTTATGTAGTCATTTTTTGCAGAGTGTATTTTCTGCACGCAGCCGGAAGAGAGTTCATTCGAAAGCCAGAATCCGGTGGTAACTGAAATATTATAGAATTATGTTGCCGGCTGACTTTTTTTGAAACCCTATTAAATTAATCTTTTCGAAACGAAAACGCGTTTCGGAATTTCGGTTGACAATTCATGAGTTAGCCTGCCTACTGTGTATGCTTATTTCATAAGCATATCTATAAAGACTGCTGTCTTTACTCTCCAGCTTGTTCCTGGTACATTAGACAAATTCTCATTTCTTCTCCTGTCCGATGTCTTGATTACTGTCACTGATAATTATGTACGGACGCTGAGAGTTGGAGCAAAAAAATACAGACAGTCAATCAAAAGCGAAGTAAGTCCTCTGCAGTTGAGAGTACTCTAAACCTGCCCTGGTAACTGCCCAAAGCGACCTCTGACGGTTAAAACGACAGGATACTGCCATTTAAGTGGGATTACTGGGGCAGTCTTTAGCCAAAAATCACCGGAAGCTTTAAGGACCGCACTACTGTCAATGTTTAAGGACATATTTAGCTGACCTTGTTGTAAATCACTAATGACAGTTGGAATTTAAGAATGGTTTAGATATGCGGAAGGTCCCAATTGACATACCACGCAGGAAACGGTAAATCTTGATATCATCCAAACCTATTCCAAATTTGATTTTATAGTTATAAGAATCCCAAGTCTACAAACCTCCTCTGGACTAAAATGTGAATTCTTCGTTTATTAAAAAATCAGTACAAAAAGACATTTTTGTTTACGGTCTCTATAAAGTGTGTTTGGATTGATAAAAGCACTGAACATTAAAGGAACAGCGTAATATCACCTATAAGGCATTTGTTCGTATGTGCAGGTTGCCACAAAGACGTTTGATTAAGGGTCTGAACCCCGGCGTGATTTAAATATTTTGGACCATGGGGCGAGATAATTAGTATTGCAATGCTACTCAAAAAATCCCTTCTAATCGACAGAATATTGCTGAATGTCATTTTAAATTTCATGATATATGTCAACTACTGTAGTTACATAAGTCACTTTGCTCGAAAAAATGTGTACAAAGAATATTGAGGTTCACGCTCAGCATAAAATATATTTGGATTCATAAAAGCGTCGAAAATCAGGGGGAAAACGTAATACCGCTTAATTAGACATTTTATCGAGCGTGCTTTATGCCGACACCCAGAAAGACGCGCGATAAAAGGCCTGAACTCTGGTGTACTTTGAATATATTTGGACCATGCTGTATGATAATCAGTACTGCAATCCCACCCAAGTAATTCTTTCTAACCGAGAGGATATTTCAGAATCTCATTCTATATTTAACGAGATACGTCAGCTACTATAGTTCGGTCACCACACTCGGCAAAGGCGCGGGATAAGTTGTGCAGCATTGACTTCGTTCGTCCTTTTGGCTACAGGACAGTTAACAAACTTAACACAGTGTGGTGTTCATGCATGCGGGTTAGGTGCTATCAACCGGACCACATGAAATTCGGACAAACTGTCAAATGCAAAATAAGCATCCGGGCTTAGGTCTGACTCAGCGATGCGACCACACTTCACGGACACCTAACGGCAAATGAGTGGATCTAGCTCGCATTCGTTCAAGCCTCATCTTCCTTACCGAGTAGCATTATTCCTACAGTAAAAAAACTAGAAACAGTTGATACGGAAGGCTGAATGGAGTGAGGAGTGCAAGTGCAGTCGAAAGGGTGTTGTTGCGAAACGGATTCTCATCGCCGACCTTCAGACTTGCAGGGTTCGCTCCGCCTACTGAGTACTCACGGCTTCGCTTGTCAGACTTGGAAATTTGTCGAGAACGTCTTCCCTATCGCCCGTAAGTTGGACTCAGAATTAAACGTCCTATTCATGATGGAGGTAATCTTTAGCATAATGTTTGAGGACATGTGACCCTAGAAAATGCTCCACGTAAGTAAAAAGCAAGGAACATTATCTGCGGTCTAATAATTACTGAGCCGCACCCATTAGAAAAATCGGCTTATCAAAAGCGCCTCCCTACAATCTACATGTGAAAAAAACAGCGAAAAAAGGCCTATTCTTGCACTAAAGTAGGGAAGACATGAAGGCCGCCGGTGAACTGACGGAATAATCTGCCTTCAGTTTTTGTTTTTTCGGGAAGCGGAGGGCGCGCTACCTCCCCTGATTCTGTCATGGTCCCGGGCATGGAAAAGACAACCGATTCAACTGCAGGCGTAGTAGTGAGTGTTTTTCGCTTCTACGCACAAAACGGCCCTCTATCAGACATCCTGCTCTGCGCTCCAAAAGCCTTCAGTACGTTCCTTATGGCGTTACCGTCTCAACGCTGGCTTTGGGCACCACAGGCAGTAACGCCACACCACGGCAGGAATAGCCCGGTCTCAGTCATTATCTGACTCTCCTGAAGAGGTATGTGTTGGTGTGTTTGTGGTGTTGTTGTGTGCCCCCCAAACGGGCCACGTGTTAGATGCGCTGGACCAACACGGGGCCCACATCGGATTCTGGCAGCCGTTATCTTTTCGCAGTAACAAATGTCAACATCTAGGGGGTGCGCTGACAGGCCCTGTTGTGGGCAGTCGTCGCACAAACTGGGACCACTGCCACGACCTCCAAAATCCTGGTCATTTGCTGTGCGGACCAGGTGGTGCGGAGTGGAGCGCCAAGGCGCGAACCCGTCCAAGCCATCCACCTGCGGCCTCCCTCATCTCCGGTCTTCTTGACTCTGTCTTGACACTGGGCTTAGGCGAGGGAGGAGGAGAGAGTGTAGGTAAATACAGCGCAAGTCTGCCGGCACTTTAAACCCCTGCGCAAGTCACCGTCCCTGCTCCCACTTCCTGTTGTGGGGCACACATTTGACATCGTCGAACAAGACGGTCGAACGTTCGTGATGTTGTGGAGGGATGCAAATGCTGGTAGATGTGGTTGCGCTCCCGTCGGGTAAACAGGTCGTGGGCAAGGTTGTGCAGTCATTCTCGTCTTTCTGACCCGTTGTGGTTTTGCTGTTGTTGGCTAAAATCCTGGGCAAATGTGTGTTGTGGGCCAGAGGATGTGGAGCGGCACGTCTAGGTGCAGGCTAAGTCGCGCTAACCACCTCATTCATCTTCCGTCCCCGGTCTTCTTGACACCGGGTCCAGGTGGGGGAGGGGTAGAGTATGGTAGATCCAGCGCAAGTCTACATTCCCTATAAACTAATTTACGCGCTAGTCACCGTGCCTGCTTCCCCTTGCTTTGGTGAACACGGTGAATATCTTTGACCACGACGATCAAACTGTCCTGTGAAAAACAATAAAATGCGTCTTACGTGGTCTTATCTGTTTTTTTATGGACTATGGAAATGCCTTAACTCCCATTCAACATAAATTTGCCAAGAGTAGTAATGGCTCAATAATCTCTTGAGCCTATATAACAGGAGGCCCGGCAACCGCGAAATTTAGATGCCATTTTTCCTGGACTTGACAAAATCGCTTTCTCGGGAATAAACCTATATTTCTGAAATGTCCAATCAAAATGACTTCCCACAATGGTATGCCTGAAGACGGCGAATAATGCTGCCCTGCATAAACGACGTAGATAAAATAATCAAAACAATTTCCTCCCTCTGGCGAATGAAATTATGCTCGTTGTTCGGGAAAAAACAAACATTCGCCCAATTTGGATGACGCCAGATAAATAACAGTCGGATCTTATTTCGCAGTCGCGCCTGGAGTAAACAAGCACCAGCCGCCTGTCATATGGGACCGGTGATAATAGGGGGTTCAACACTAATCCTCAAACCCAACCCCTAACCCTAATCCCTAAATCTAGCCCCTAATCCAAACTCTAACGCATAACGCCTAGCCCCGAACCTTAACCCTAACTCCTAACAGGTGCGACCACGAAATAAGGTCTCACCAAAATACCTTCCTGGATACATGGCTGTGATTACGCCGTAAATGCACGTAAATACATTTCCGTATTTAGTGGATACACGCCAGACCATCACTCAAACTATGTACGGCTTCCAACGAATAAGTGCTTCCCAACGCCGTCCCTGCTGTCGACCTCGGGATTTCAGCATCAGCAAACAATTTCCGCGGACGGCAATAAGGACGGGCAAGGGCTTATGCATCCACCGAAGACGATCACAGGCTCTCACCGTGCAGGGTTTTCATTCTCTTTTGTAGGAAGCGTTTTGTCACAGCTAGAGTAATGCCCATCGATCTGGTCCGCATACCTTACCAGGATCGTAGAATTTCCTGAAAAAGTCCGCTATCAAATAATACGCCCTATTATCTTCCTGACTGGTCTTGGCGCTGGTGAAGTGTTCTGTGAACAAGGGGTTGTGGAGTGGATCGCCGAGGTGCAGGCTCGGCCGCGCTCTGCAGCTGTCACTCTAGGGATGTCAAAGTGCTGGGCTAATTGAAATCTACCGGGAATTTTACAATATCGATTTTAATTGCCCAGATTTACTATTAAAGTCAGGAAAAACCGGCTACCTTTAAGACTATAATTTTAGATATTGAAACTTCTGTGAGACACAAGTTAGGCAGACTTCTCCTAGCCAGTGAACAATTAACTCCAGAAATGGGTCAAACGACGATGTAGTTACAGCCTCCGCGTGTTGAATCACTGGAAAGTTAATCAATTTCCTAAATCTCCAGTCCCCGTTGTACCTCCGAAGTTTTATAATTCGGACGGAAGAAGCACTGATTCCTTTGGGGGCAGCGTTGCTGTCCAAATGTTGTCCAACGAATTTGTTGCGAGTGTCCTGTTCTAGAATCCAGTCGAACATAATTAGGTGCCTCATACGATTTTCGGTTTCTTTTTCGGGTAATCTATTTCATTTTTAACGCCAACATTCCCGAAGCAGATAAAGCAGCTCAATCGGGCTTCTATTCTGCGGATTGTCGGCCTTGTTATTATTGTCATAAGCATAAATTAGGAATAGAGCGACAAGCACCCGAGAGGCCGTGCATATCCTTGGCTGGGGCAAGAATAGCATCGTTGGCGTCTGGTCATCTAAGAAAGATGGCAAATACCTTAAAGTTCTATATCCTGATAGCGCATGAAACAGTCGGCATGTTGAGTTGGAGGTTGTATGCAAAATGCCCACGGAAAATTTTTAAGAGAAGGCAGCCAATCCAAACGGGCGCAAGTAATGATTTTTAGAGTTCTTTGGGAAGTTAGTCGATTGGCATATTTGAAGCATGCCTAAGGGCGCTCTCTTGGTTATTCTTCTAACGCTCTAACCAGCAAGTAGCGAGCTCGTTCACTGGCCGGTCGCGATTGGGCATGTTAACTTTAGTGGAGACCCCTCACCGATCGTTTTATCGGAGCTGGTAGCACTGTTGTGCTTTGGAGTTCGATCCAGAGCTACGCAGGTAGTCGCGCGGCACCTAGAAATATAAGTGGTAGAAGTGGCTCAGTGTTTAGAGCGTTGTAATAGCAGTCAGAAGGGCGCTCAAAGTCCGCGGTTGGGTGTGGCCGACTGATAATGACCGGCAAGTCAGAAACGGTCGTTCCGGCCGCCAATGTTTTTGTCGGTAATTTCCTTTTGCCTATATTTCTAGTTGCCGTGCAACTGTCAGCGGCGCTCTAAGTCGAACTCCAAAGTGCGACGAGGCAAGCAGGTCCCGTAGCGTAACCGGTTACCACTTTCTACCATAATTTACATATGTAGTATATATACACCAGAAACCGCATAGAAAACGTTGGAGGACCCACAGGGAAGCCGAAACCCTCGCAGATGTGTCACTCGGTGGCAAGATTTCGGCAAAACACGTGTCTGAGCTATTAGTTAGTACCTATGTCTGAAGTACGATCCAATGCATTGGCCATATATGTACATAAAATGGTGAAGGGGCGCTGTGCGGCTGCTCGTTAGGCTCTGGAGTGGGCCCGTTAGGCACGAAGGAGCGAGTGGGTTCCGTAAGAACGATCAGTGAGCACCCCTTCGCAATTTTATATTCCCGATCGAAACCGACAGAACTACGAGCCCGTGGCTCAGTGGTTATAGGAGTTGGACTTCTAACTAAGAGGTCGCGAGTTTATTCCCCAGGTGTTCCACACCTCTCAGTTGGGTATGACTGGCTGGGGACGGCCAGTAAGTCAGAAATGGCCATTCCAGCCACCCATATCTTTTTCGGTAATGTTAGTCTGCCTATATACATAAATATGGAAAAGCAACTATTTTGCTCGTGGATATAAACAGTTATGTTGCTTTGCAGATTGGTAGACTGGTTAGCTTTCATGCATACATGAAACAGAAAAACAGGAAAGCCATCTTCAGGCGATCACGTTATCCATGTATATACCTAAATTGCCAACTTCCAACGGAACTGTTTAAACAGATTTAAAAAACCGTTTAATGCAAGCGTAGACTTCTAAATACTGAATATATGGACGGCATAGTATGAAACAATATGTGTCTGACTTACCTGTTCGATAAAGAGGAGTTGGAATCGCTCCCAGAGCTGGTTGTCGCGTATGGAAGTAATCGCCATGTAGACAAATAGTCCATTGAGCACTGGCCGAGGTATATAGGTGAGTGGCCGGGGAAGTAAGAAAATGGATAGTCCAATACCGATGTGGGAAACAATGGAGGTTACCCGTGTCTCACGGACACGTATCACTCTACAAAACATCAGATGTAACTATATATATATATATAGGATGCGTTCGAGTATGAGTTTGAAACGTCAAACGAATAAATAATCAATCCCAGAGCTCGCCTTACCATCTTCTTTAGTACATATGTATAAATGAGAGAGAGAAGGGTGTTCATCTATCATGCTATACTGTGAAATATGCTAATCCAATAGTGTCATTGAACTCAATCTAGATCCGTCGCAGACTGTCGCATAGCGACCAGACATAAATTCCGACGAAATCGCAAAACAGACAAGGAAGAACGAGGTGACTAGACTCCAACATCACGTCCAAATGCTTCGAAGTTCTGGCCTGAGTTGTTTGTTTATCGAACGTCAAATTTAATGCTCAACCACTAGACTATGGGTCACCACTATCGACAATCGCAGTTAGCGTTATGGAACTGTCAGTGGCCGATTTCCTTGCAATATCGAACACACGCAGCTCGACGTCTAAAATCCTGTCAGGTGGCTGTTTAGAACTGTTCGAAGGAGAACGCACGTTAAGAGGAATAAAAGGAATGAGGGTCTACCGGGCAGCCATCATGACCAGTCTGGCGTCCTTGTTCAAAACCTCGCTGCCTCGAAATCATTCACCCCTTTGCAGTGAGCCGTTCCAGACGCGCTGACCTGAAGTCACACGACCGACAGCTCGGGCATACCTGCGTCCGCACAGCCGCAGCTGCCCATGTGGCCACTTGAACGCGCCCCCCCCCCTGCAACCAGCAAAACAAGCCACTGGGACACCACCCCTCGGGAAATGCAACGCACACCAATTGGAGACCAGTTGAGCTTGACCCACGAGCCTACAAATGCGGCTGCCACGACTGTCCCAATGACTCTAAGGGAATGACTGGACGCAGTCAACACCAACCATGGCTTCGCCAGTGGCAACTGCCGCCTGAGAGGACAACCCTGAATTCTGTATACGATAAACCCCTCATTCTTGTAAACGCTGTCTTCGCCTTACCACTTGGGATTTGACCTGAAAATTGTAGCTCACATGCTGTACAAGCCCACACTGCTTAGTCGCAACAAGGGAAGACTTACGTCTGTTGTACGTGATGACCAATATCTATCCTCTCCTCCATATCGGCCAGCGCCCGAACGTGCATCGGGGAATGGGGTAAGGCACCATGGATCCATGGTAGACCGAACATTGATAAGAATGCGTTGATCAATCCCACAACTAACAGATCCCAGTGGTAGCTGGTCCCTTTTTTCAGCCTTGAGAATAAGAAAGACCAAGGAGCGTATGAGATGGACAAAATAATAAACTAATAAGCGGGAGACATTAAGCACAACGATTGCAGTCTTTCAAATAAATCTCATCTACACATTCAACAATACCAATAAAAGGTGTTTTTTGCTTTTTTATAAGTCCAGGGCTTTTTGCGAAACTGTTTTGCGCTTTTAGAGAATTTGAAAAAGGCCACATAAGTTTGCTCAGTTGATTAGGCAGTTAATTGTAGGAAGGGATTAGTAAGACTTAAACTTAATTCTCCTTCGTCATGCGAAGACAGTCGCCAAAGTTGTATCGATTTTCTTCGTTTGAGAGCGCCTATTTTAACGGCAAGACATAAGCTAACATAGGTTCGAAATCAAGTTAGACAAAAACCTATTTTTGAGAAGAAATTAAGGCAACCTTAAAAAACCGCTATCTGGGGGAGGTTTTCAAAATCTATTGTTTCTGAGATTATGCGCGCTATGCCTTTGAGGCATTTCTGATGGACTCTAGTAGTCAAATTGTAAAATACCCCATTATAGTATGTTATTAGATTACTTCGCCAGCCTGACGAAATTTTCGAAATGTGGCTCTCATTCCGGTGTTAAGGAAAGGTTAATCATTGAATTCTCCTAAACCGCGCAATAACAATTTGAATTACGAGTTTTTTGAAAGATTCATTTCAACAATGCCAAATAAAAATGAGCAATACGTCAATTTTTGGCGAGGTGATTATATGACGAAAGTAGTGTTGTTTTCGATTATAACTACCTGGAAGCCACAGAGCTGGATGTGTGAATATACCTTCCATTATGTCAAGGCATAATTGCATAATATTCCACCAAGTATGGTCCACAGCCCCAACTATCTTGTAGACAAACAAAGTGGGAGATTCCCAGACTTCAATGTGCTCCTCATTCACACATAACGCCCAACAAAGTCGTCTGGTGAAGACCAGTCTAACGGAAAACGTACACGGTCGGAATGTGGGGTCAACACGCCGGTTCAGACGATCCATCCAACTGTGTGGTCTTGAATACTCCTAATCGCGGCCGATAGGCAGGGAGCTAGTGAAAACAAGACGATACGTTTCTATATGGAAAAAGCTTAGTCCGACACATATGGCTCCGGGCAAGACTATGGTCGACTGAGGAGGGCTGATAAGTCAGAAATGGGTTTATCAGTCTCTTTTGCCTTGCACGAATCACTTTTCAAATGCCGGAAATCGAACTGGCTTTCAATTCGTATGACTCTTCTGCTTTATATTGGCAAACCAAGAACAATACGTTAACTTCTGTAAGCAAGTAGTCTAGTACCCTCAGAATAAACTTGTCCTGCTTATTAGGTATGTATTTCAGTTTAAAAGACCTTAAACTCCCTGCTATGGGAGTAGTTAAAGCCTCGCTAAAGTGCACCAGACGACTTGCAGAGTAACACTTGGAAAACCTTGACTTCATGCAAAAACTGAGTAATGTTTCGATTGTTGCGTATATGCTACTGACAATTCTTGAGTCAGACACTTCCTACGTTTAGGAAAAGACAGCTGTACATGGACTTATAAATCAGATATTCTGTGCATGCTTTTTAAAACAGCTATGTCTTCTGAAACCGGAATTTTCTGTTTCAAACCAACACATTTTAAGTCCTTCCTCCAACCTAAGAACGCAGTTATGAGTTTTATTTGGTAGTTCACTGGTTTCGACGTATTTCGCAAGAAGAAGTGGTAATGGTTACTCATACGGCTCCACCAAAAGGACACTGGATGCGGGACCGCCCCGAATACAAATGTCTTTGCGCCAAATTTCAGAGGAATTAGGGTAGGATTACGGTTAAGGTTAGGGTCAGGGCTACCACTAATAAGGACAGAGAAATCTTTAACTTCGCTGAAGTTTTATGAGTGGGGGCGTTCTAGCTTCCATGTTCTGTTTAGGGAGGGGGTCAGACAAGCAATTTCGACTGCAGAATTTACTTGAGCAATCGAAAAAACATTTTCGACAGTATCTCTGTAGCATTCAAATTTAATTTTAAATTTCGGTGGTTATAATCTTTTTTCGATCATGTAGGCAGTCTTACCAAGCAGATCTTTACCCTCGTCAAACAACAAACGTCCATATAATAAGGCGCTTTCATCACCCTAGGCTGTTTTACTGGGAATCATATGCACAATGCTGATCGCGGTCCAGAAGTTGCTTTTCTCGGCTACAGCAGTCTGCGAATCATAGGCCTCCGTGTATTCAAAATCGTGGCTCTTCGGACGGCAGTCGATAGGGGCGACTTTTTAGGGGAAACTATAGCCGGCAGTTTTCGCATCCGGAAGTGCAGGCTATCTTGCACCCCAGGCCCCAGCAGGATAGCTTAATTCGTGGTAGAGTTCTGCTGAAAGCGTGTGCTATGCCAATACCATGACCCTCGCAGCCTGGTATGTGCTGGCAGTTCCCTGACATCTGGTTCCATGCTGGTAGATGCACCTGCGCTCCCACTAGGTATACAGGTGGTGGGCGTGGCTGCCCAGTCATCGTCTTCGTCCTTCTGACTCCTGTCGGGGCGTTGTTGTTGTTGTTGGTCAAAAATCTGGTCATTTGCTGTGTGGACCAGGGGGTGTGGAGTGGAAAGGCGTGCCTTCATCTGCGCCCTCACCCGCCTCCGGCCTTCCTGACTCTGTCTTGAAACCGGGTCCAGGTGGGGAGTGGGAAAGATAGAGTACGGTGGATTCTGCGCAAGTCTACCATCACTGTAAACTATTTCACGTGCAAGTCACTGTGTAGCACCCGGTGGACATCATCGGAGTTGACGGTCGAACTGTCAGATGTCTGCTCGGAGCGGCAACAGCGGCCGAAACCCCCGCAGCCAGTTGACCGCTTGCACCAGGTGTGAATCATTCTTTCAGATTGCCGACACTCTGTCATCGAACGATATTTTACCCTTAACTGATTGGCTGCAGTCGGTTGCAATCAGGCGCATGCAGGCATCTCACGTTGGCAGACGTCGTGGCCGTCGATGTGCACCGTGTGTTCCGCACCAAGGTGGAGCAGGCACGGTGACTTGAGCGCGAATAATAGTGGACTTGCACAGCATCTACCGCACTCTCTCTTCCCCAATCGCCACCTGGACCTGGTGTCAAGAAAGAGTCAAGAAGATCGAAAGCGGGCAAGGGCGCAACTGAATGGCACAGTCGAACCCCCAACTTAGCGACCAATTACATACTCCCTGGTCCACACAGCAAACAACCAGAATTGCAACCAAGAAAAATAGAAGGGACCTGCGCAGCCGGGGCCGCACCAAGGCGTGCCGTCACATCTGACTCTGATCTAATAGGGTTGGAGTGCCATAAAGGCCACATCAAGAAGGAGCCATCTCAGCCTGACTCTTAGACTAACAGAGGATCGCTCCACACAAACACACAACACTGGGTCGACTGCGAGGTTCAAGTTATCCCCTCATTTGACAGCCTTCCAAACCACGCCTTTGAGCACACCATGATAGCTTCAAACGGGTCAGATTGTTTACAGTGAGGAAAATGCGCTGTGTCATAAACCTCACCCTCCCTTCCCATTCCTATGCCTTAGTCCCTCTCAGAACCGGTCAGTTTACAGGTGCGGCGAATGGGCGCAGGGGTTGACATATCTAGTGACCTTGTCTGAGCCCGCCACATATACAACCTGACCGCCAAAACGGAAACACCAGGTTTTCACTTAACGGGGGTTGGGCGGCGTACATCTCACACGCGTGAGAGTGCCGTAAGTCACACTAAGAAAGAGCCCACCAGTCTGTCACTCCACACAAACACACAGACAGATGGGCAGACTGCATGGACTGAGTTGAGGCATTCATGGGCAGCGTTCCAAGCCACGGTGCTGGACGAACCGTAATTGTCTCAAACTCGGATCTAATAAGCAGCAGAAGAGCCCCATGGAGAGGGGGCCGAAACGCACACTTCCCACTTGCGTGAGAGGTGGCTAGTGAATGTTTTTGGTAGGTGATAATGTTGTGTAATGTAGAAGGAGGGAGACGGTGATGGTGCGGTGTAGCCGGCGGTTGCCTACTGCAGGTTTTCGCAAATGCGCATGTGGCCTAATAGGCCCATGAAGGGGGGTGAATATGCGGTGTAGTGAGGGCAGTTGAGGTGAATGTGTCCAGTGTATGTTGGTGCTCCGGACACTGGCTTGCCAGTCTATGCGCGATGGATTCGCGAGTGATCGGCTAGGTTGATGTGTGAGGTGAATTAATGGGGACAATGTGGACAGGAAAAGTCGGCGGAGGCCGACACACAACGGCAACGACTGGCACATAGTTTCCTAGGCTACTTGCCACCGCTTCTTTCAGAAAACCCCTTACGCTCCATTTCTAAGGTTTTCAAACCACCTATGTCTCGGGGACCCTTGGTTTGGAAAACCCTCGCTCTGTCAACCAATACATTTAAGGAGCGTCGGGAGGCGCCCACCGGCCTACTAGGTTATGTGCAAAATTCGTCGTTCATTTAATCCCGCCATGACTTGCGAAATGTTTACAATTATCTGATTTACTACCCGTACTGCAGACATTGCTACCGTACTGTCCATGACGGTTTATCTTTTAGGCCCAAAAGCCAGCCTTTGCTGAGGACCGTTCCAGCAGCTGAGACTCGCTGACATGTGCGGTAGACTACAGCCAGGCTTTGGGCAAATCACATCTTTCTGTCGGGAGAAGACAAGTGGATTTGCAGAGTATGTCGTCATTTTTTTCCTTGATTTACGCATGGGCACTGTTCATCATTAATGCAAGAACCTGTCTAATTACCTGCCGCGAAGTGAAGTGGATTCGTGGATGGCCACTTAAAGTGCGTGACTGATCTCATTAAGTGTTAGCCGAAATCCATAAATGCGTTTTCTGTTAGCGAGGATTACTTGGATAGGGTTGTAAGATTGACTGGCATGCAGCGTAATCCTATAGCATGTT